GATCACAATGATCTACATATAACCCTCTCCCAAGGGGATGGACAACAGAAAAGTGGGTGAAAGATGACAGCGGTTGGTGTAAGATATGAAAAAAAATTTTAATAAATTATTAAGGGTTCATGAAGGAGGAGGGGTGGGATTAGCTGACACCAAGAGCTCAAATAGAAGGAAAATGTTTTGAAAATGATGATGGCAACATATGCACAAATGTGCTTGACTCAATGGATGGATGGATGGATTGTGATAAGATCTATAAGAGCTCCCAATAAAATGATTTTTTTTAAAAGAAGAATATAGGCTCTTGAATCTAACAAAGCAGGATTCTATAGGCAGCATTACCACCTATCAGCAAGGTAGCCTTTGGAAAGTCACTTCACCTCTCTGAACCTCAGTGCACTTCACCTCTCTGAACCTCAGTGCCCTCATATGTGAAATGGACAAGTAACCCCACTGAACAGACTTCATAGGGGAATTCCATGAAATGATACCTGTGAAGTGTCTGGCTTGGTCTCTGGCCTAACGTGAGCACTCAATGTATTTGAGCTGTTGTTGTTTTGGGGTTTTTCCAATGGGAAGTCTGGGGGTGGGGGTGGGGGCTATTTATGTTCGGTGTCCCTGTCTCCGCAGATCCAGTTATCCGAGGACCAATGTATGTCACAGAGTAAGTGAACCTGGGGCTTTTGCAGGAGGAGGCGGCTGGGAGATGGAGGAGCAATAGTTGGAGGGGGACATGTTGGAAATAAGAAAGTGTGTTAGTCTGGGTTGACTAGAGAAACAAATTCATAGACACTCATATATGTATAAGAAAGAGCTTTATATCAAAGAACAATTGTACATTAAGAAGACATCCCAGCCCAGTACAGGTCAAGTCCATAAATCTGATATTAGCCCATATGTCCGTGACCAGTCTTTAATTCCTCTTCAGAGTCACGCAGCACATGCAATAATGCCGAATTCAGGAAGAAAGATCACAGGCCAGTGGCGGGAAGTCTTGTAGATCACAGTGGTGGTGGAAGCCTCTCAGCGTAGGTGTGGATTTCCATGTGGCTCCTCCAGTTCCAGGGCTCTGGCTGCATCAGTGTAGCTCCATGTGGCTTGTCAGCAAGAAGACGAAGCAGAGCGTGTCTCCTGCCTCCAGGGAGGAAGACAGGAGTTCCCAGAATCCTCAGGAGAAGGCCATGCCCACACGGAGCCCTCATTAGCTATGACCTTATTGACAGGCTAGGCTCCACCCCACAAGAGATTATGTAACTGCCACAGAAAGAGAATTGACTCTAGAGTGATGTTGGGGTGGGGCTTGGACTCCCTGGGAATCCACCAGAACAGCTCCTAGCAGCTGAGGAATGGGAAGGAATGGGGTCCTTCATGGAACCAATGGGCCTATGCCAACCTTCCCCAATTCCTCTCTTTCACAGGATGGCCTTTCTCTCAGATCCAACTGATGGCAGCCTATATATCTTGGGGACCCAGAAACAACAAGGATTAATGGTACGCTTCCTAATGGTGCATGAGAGTGAGAGCCAGGACCCATCAGACAAAACCTTGAGGAGGTGGAGAGACACCTTGGTTAGAAATCCTGGTGGCCTACAGGTGGTGCAAGCCAGGATTCTGAGTGCCTCTTGGGAAGGTTGTCTGGAGGGGACAGGTAGGTAGAGGGGGCCGACAGGAGTGGCTCTGGCTGGTTCTACAGAACAGGGTTACTCTCAGGCCTTTAAGGGTACCATAAGGATCTCTCATTCAGGACTCAGGGTTTTAAGGAACAAACTATGGTTAGCTGGTGACAAGTTGGCCCCCTCGCCACCTGGTGACCCATGCAGAGCGGAGCAAATTCGGCTCAGTCTTTTACTTTGAACTATTGTGATCCGTGGGGGTTTCCTCACCCTCCCTCATTTCTGATGATGATCAAAATATACACACTAAAGCACCTGTCAACACAGCAACTTCCACAGTAACAATTCCATGACTTGATTACATTTTTCATTTGCACCACAAGTATTGTCCTTTTCCAAAATATTCTACCATCATTAACATGAGCTCAATGCACCGCCCCCCCAACACACACACACACACACAGATTTCCCCTTTCCCCCTTCATCCCCACACACACACACACACACACAGATTTCCCCTTTCCCCCTTCATCCCACCCCTGGTAACTGTTGGTTTCTATATTTCTGCTTATTTAATATAAAGGAGATCATACAAAATCTGTGTCAGCAACTGACTTATTCTCCTCAGCATAATGTTTCATAATGTTTCATTGGATGAATTTTGGAAGTAGGTCGTCAGACCATTTTTTCTAGTCTGCTTTAGTATTGTATCAGTTAAATAGCACATTGCTCCAAACTCGGTAAATAAATTCCCAAACCACTTATTCAGCTCACAATTGTGTAGGCTGGCAATTTGGACAGGGCTCTGCTGGCACCTCTTCTGCTGGTTGTGCCTGAGTGTGTGCATGCGTGCATCTGAGATCACCTGCTGATCAGCTGGATGCTCTGCTTCTCAACGTTGACTGGACGTTAGCTGACTTTGGACAGGGGCAACTGGGTGATATGTCTCTCACTTCTGGTAAGCAAGCCTGGGCTTACTCCATGGTCATCGAGGCATTCCAAAACAGCAAATGAGGGCAAGCCCCAGGCCACCAGCACTTTTCAAGCTTCTCCTAGCATTGAATGAGTGTGTGTCTTGTAGACCAATTTTCACGGCCAGCTCTAGCTATATTCCTGAGAATGAAGAACAGACGCCGGCTCTTCATGGGTGGGGCTGCAAAGTCACAGTTCTAAGGGATGAAAAGTAGTCTGTGCCCATTGTTGTGATTAGATGCCTTGTAGTCTATTCCAACTCATAGGTACCCTTTGTGCAAGAGCACGAAACACTGCCCAATCCTCCCCCATTCCCACAATTGTTATGTTTGAGCAGCCACTGTGACAATCCATGTCCTGAAGGATCTTTCTCCTTTAGCTGATCCTCTACCAAGCATGACGTCCTTCTCCAGGCATCAGTCCCTGCTGACAAAACGTTCAAAGCTTAAAAGAGTCTCGCCATCCTTGCTTCTAAGGAGCATTCTGGCTATACGTCTTCTAAGACATACTCGTTTGTTCTTCAGGCAGTCCGCGGTGTATTTCATTGACAACATCATCATTCAAAGGCACCGATTATTCATTTGTCTTTTTTCTTCATTGACCAGCTTTTGCATGCTTATGAAGCGAGTGAAAATACATAACATGGGTCAGGTGCACCTTAGTCCTCAAAGTGATATTGCTTCGTAACAAAAATAGGTCTTGTGCAGCAGATTTGCCTAATGCAAAAGGCCATTGGACTTTTCAACTGCTGCTTCCATGAGCAACAATTATGGATCCAAGTAAAACGAAACCCTTGACAGCTTTGATCTTTTCCCCATTGATCATGATGTTGTCTATTGGTCCATTTGTGAGAACTTTTCATTTCTTTCCACTGAGTTACAATCCATGCTGAAGGCTGCAGTCTTTGATCTTCATCACCAACGACTTCAAGTCCTCTCTGCTTTGGGCAAGTCCAGTTGTTTCATCTGCCTGTCGCCGCATGTTAATGAGCATTTATTATTATCAAATGCCTTTGCATAGTCAATGACACTCGGATCGATGTATCTTCCTGGTATGCTCTACTTTCAGCTAAGACCCATGTGACCTCAGCAATGCTATTCCTCATTCCAATCCCCTTCGGAATCCAGCTTGAATTTCTGGCAACTCTCTGTTGATAAACAGCTGCACTCATTTCTCATATAATCTTTAGTAAAATTTTATTTGCATGTAATATTGGTTAAAAAAAACACACTGATGGTATTGAGCTACGTCATCACTTTCTACAGATGTAGTAGATTTGATTTCCCTTGACAAAGCCCAAACTCCTTGGCAAAGCCTGTAAGGCCCTACAGCAGTGGTTCTCAACCTTCCTAATGCCATGACCCTTTCATACAGTTCCTCATGTTGTGGTGATCCCCCAACCATTATTTGACCCCCCCAAAATGACTTCATAGCTGTCATTTTGCTACTGTTATGAATCAGGAGACACCATGTGAAAGGGTCATTTGACCCCCAAAGGGGTCCGCACCCACAGGTTGAGAACCGCTGTCCTACAGGATCTGGACCAGTCTTACTTCTACAGCTTCAGCTTTTACTATACATATACACACACACACATACATACACGTGAGCACACACAGCCCCCTGCTGTGCAATGCTCTACTTTATGACTCTCAGTTAATTCACTATGTCTACTCTGGGGCTTCTCACAAGTGTGTCCTCGGTCTGGAACATTCTTCCACTTGTCTCTGTTGTAGCTGCCATCTTGCTGGCCCCCAACTTGTGTCCAGGCATATTATGACCCATAGGATTTTCATTGACTGAGGTTTTCAAAAGTAGATCACTAGGCCTTTCTTCATCATAGCAGCATGCAAGCTTCCGTCGACAGATAGGCGTGAAGTGTATTGCCTAGGAATCTCCTGCAAGAACGGTGAGAAACCTGTCACCGAACCACCAATGTACCTAATGAATGTTGCCATTGTGTGTCGTTGCGTCTATTTCTAATCCTTTCCTGGAAATGGTCCTCTCCTCAGAAGCTGCCCTTCACCATCCCTGAGCTGGTTCTTGCCTCCCCTTGCCGGAGCTCCGATGGGGTCTTCTACACAGGTGAGCACCTCTCCAAGTTGGCAGGAACAGGGAGTGACCTATCAATGGAAGTCCAACTTGGGCACTGTTCCAACAGGAGGCATACCCTCTCCCATGCCATTTGGAAGTTGGGACAATCTCCATTTTCACAGGCCGGAAGCAGGACGCCTGGTTTGTGGTGGATCCTGAGTCAGGGGACACCCAGATGACTCTGACCACCGAAGGTCCCTCAACCCCTCGCCTCTACATAGGCCGGACACGTGAGTCAGGTCCCAATCGCCCACCATGACTGGGCATGACTTCCTTCTGTTCTGCCCAGGTCTGGTTATTGCCATCCAAGTCTAACCCAGGCCAGTCATTCAATCTGTCACTCAGTCAACCAATGTTTTACTGAGCAAAGAGCTAGGGTAGATCAAGAAGCAAGACAACCCGAGCTTCTGCCTGGTGAGGCCCACAGACTTCTAGGTCTCCAGGCTGGCCACTTGGGTACTTCACACCCTCCTAGAGTGAGTGGGGTAAGAGATGCATCACCTGAGCCTCCCTGGTAACCCTGATTTTTTTTGGGGGGGGGTTGTCTGTAGAGTACACAGTTACCATGCATGACCCAAGAACCCCGACACTACACTGGAACACTACCTACCGCCGATATTCTGCACCCCCCATGGATGGCTCATCTGGAAAATGTGAGTGCCCCTTTCTCTGGTCTCATTTGAGGGTTAGGTCCCCAAGTCAGGCACCACAACCAAGTCTCACCCACATTGTGACCGACCTGTCGGGCCTCCTCAGGATGATCCATTGGATGGCTCACCTCTGAAAGAAAGTCCCTCGTGATGCCCTTGACCCCCAGACTAGATTCCCTGACTATCATCTCTCCATATCTTAGCTCCACCTTTCCGGTTCCACTCACCTGCAACCAAGCAATTAGGTAACTCTCCACAGCCTAAATGGCTTGCAAGGAGCCCACACAACCCTGAGCAGACCCCACATCTCCTAACTAACCCCTCCATCTGGAATGGCCCCAAGAGATGACCCTAACAGAACTCATGTCCAGACTGACCCTCCAGTAGCCCTGACCACCCCCATTGCCATTAAGACAGTCCTACCCAACTGTCTGAGTGATGTCGCCAGTGTCCCTCGATCATGTTTACCTGACTCCCTCATGCTGCATGAGGTAATCCTGACACAGGACACTTCCTCACATCTTAAGTGACTCCCATGGGAAGCCACCTTGATAACACACACACACACACACACACACACACACATGCATTCTGGGTGACCATCTGAAGATCATGACTGACTACCACATATCCTGAGTGGTCTCTCTCAGGTAACCTGGACTAAATTACACACACAGCTGTGTGACCTTTGGATGATTTTGACAGGTCATGCCTAGCTCTCCAGGTGACCCTATCTGATCCCCTTAGTTTTAAGATGACCCAGTGAACTCTGACTGACCTCCCCACATCATAAAACCATCCAGGTAAGCGCCGCTGACCTCCACAAAGCTAAATGACCTTCCCTAGACCACCCACTCTCAGAAAAACTCCCTTAGCCTGAGATGCTCTGAGGTCCCCCGGCAGAGCTCCCTGACTATACCTCCAGGCACCTTTCTTGACAGACATGAGCCACTTGGCCTCCTGCGGGATGGGTCTGCTGCTGACCGTGGACCCTGGAAGTGGAGCGGTGCTATGGACCCAGGACTTGGGCGTGCCTGTGACGGGCATCTACACCTGGCACCAGGACAGCCTCCGCCAACTGCCCCACCTTACCCTTGCCCGGGACACCCTGCACTTCCTCGTCCTCCGTTGGGGCCACATTCAGTTGCCTGCTTCAGGCCCGCAAGGCATGGACACTCACTTCTCTGCTTTGGACACCCAGCTGCTGTAGGTACCCGTGCCTGGAAGTCTTACAGCCTAGGCCCCATGTCCAAGGGTATTCTATTCAGCTTTGACTTGCCTTAATGGCTGAACCAGGTGTCAAAATACTGAACTACAGTGAAACCTGTAAAAGCCAGAATATGTGGAATGCAGTAGCCTGTCAGAGAAAGAAGTATTTTCTACTAAAACTGTGATAAAAAAAAAGTGGTAAGATTGCACCCTATCAAAGGTGGAATTTTTCAAGACCTGGAAAAAAAACCAGGGCTGTCCCATTGAGATCTGGCCCCCACAGGTTTCACTGTACCCCCAAACTGGTTGGCTGATAACCAGTACCCTGAGCCCCAACAAGTGCTCCCAGGGCCCCTGGAGAGCCCTGCTGCCCATGAAAAAAGTAAAATCTGGTCCAGGAAGGGCCCACAACTTTCCATTCTCCTGTCACAGCTAGCCCTTTTTTGGATTGATAGGTGTTTGCACCTTCTTAGTTTTTAAATATCGCCCTACCCTATAGCACATACTATTTTGTGGCCTTCATCTTGGGGAACCAGGAAACATAGTGGGGAAATCAGCATTAAACCCATTCCACAAATATTAACTGAGCACTTGCTATGTGACAATCACTTGCCAGGCCCTGGGAGTACAACCATGAACAATACAGCCATTGTCCCTCCTGCAGGACTCTCAAAGTCTAATGAGGGTGACAGATGCACAACGAGACCATTGTAACATGGCACAATGGTGTATGAGATACGAGCAGCACAGGGTGCCCTAGAAATGTATAGGAAATCTTTCCAAGTCCAAGCTGTCCAGGATGCAGTCAGGGAAAGCTTCCTGGAGGAATGGACACCCAAGTTAGAACCTACAGACAAATAGGAATGGGGAGAGAGAGAATGGAGCATAGGAAATCCAAATAAATCAAATAAGAAATTAAATCATAGATGTGAACAAGGAATGAGGTCTGAGGTCATACAGTAAGCAGGGACCTTGTAGAATCGGTTAGTGTTTGGGGATTTTTCTCCTAAGGATGAGGAGGGGCCAACTGGAGGGCATGAATGTATCACTTCTTGAGAAAACTCACTCTCACGAGTGTGGAGTGTGAGAAGCTGAGAGCTGTCTAGGAAGGAAATGGGGAGCTATCTAGTAAGATATTGCACATAATAAAGATACCTTGGGCTAGGGTGGACACACCAGAAATTAAAAGGAAACAAATAGTTAAGAATTGGTTATTAGAGAGTTTGATGATTGTGAGCAAAGAATCAAGATGGTGCACCCAGATTTCTGGAAGCCCCTGGACACTGTCATTTTCAGGCCCTGCAGGAAGTACTAGAGAAGGAGCCGGGAAAGAAAAGGAACGAGGAGGCGAGTTCCGATGGAGAGGCTCAAGCTTTGGAAAGAGATCCTAGGCTAGACATAGACTTAGAAATCATGATTATGGAGTTGGCAGCAGTTATCTGTTGCTTCATCACCAACCATCTCCAAGCTCAGAGCTGAAGATGAAACACATTTATCATTTTCCCAAGAGCCTGTGGGCCAACCAGGTGGGTTTTCTGGTCTGGGCTGGCTTAGGTAATAAATGCAGTCAGCTAGCAGCTTGACTGGGCCTGCATGGTTTAGGATGGCCTCCCAGGCCTATCATGTGTGGTGGACTGTTTGGCCTAGGGGCATCAGATGGATTGGCTCATGTCCATTCTATGCCCCCAGAAAACCATCCTGAATTTCCTCACCCGGTGGTCCCAGTGTGCACTTGAACCTGTCTCATTGACCAAAGCAATTCACCTGGCCAATTCCAAAGTCAATGGGGGGATACAGTGGTTACTGAATCTACCTGGCACCATCACTCGCTCCTTCTTCCCTTGTCCTTCCCCCCTGGCCAGGATGACGCTGTATGTGGGAAAGGATGAAGCTGGCTTCTATGTCTCTAAAGCACTGGTCCACACAGGGGTGGCCCTCGTGGTAAGAAGGGGTCTGTGAGTGGGATGGAAACATGGGGTAGCACAGAGGGCAGTCTCCTTAACTAATGGCTCTCCATCTGCTGTAGCCTCGTGGACTGACCTTGGCTCCCACAGATGGCCCCACCACAGATGAGGTGACACTCCAAGTCTCGGGAGAGCGAGGGGGCTCACCCAGCACTGCTGTCAGATACCCCTCGGGCAGCGTGGCCCTCCCCAGTCAGTGGCTGCTCATTGGTGAGGCCCCCTGGCTCCAATGTGGAGTAAATGAGACACAGGATCTGGGGACTCAGCTTTCCGGTCTGGGACGATGAGGTCACTGCAGCCTGCTGACTTTTGCCCTGTCCCTCAGGACACCATGAGCCACCTCCAGTGTTACACACCACCATGCTGAGGGTCCATTCAACCCCACAGAGTCAGACTGCTGAGAGCAGCCCCCTGGAGAGCACCCAGGCCCCCGCCCTCTTCTTGGAGGTCAGTGCTACCTGTGTAAAAAGGATGGGGGAGGGGGAGGGATTCAGGCATGGGTGGGAAGTCTTTGGACTTCGTTCTCAGGCTGCTGGACAAAACCTTTGGAGGTGAGTCAGTGGACCCCACACAACTTCGCAGAAGAGAAACATTTTTAAAATTACTGTCAGAAGCATGTTCAAGGCGTCAAAACGGTGCTCTTTTAGCTCCCTAAGTTGTGAGTTGTAAGTCACAACTCTCTACAGTGTGAACATAATAAAATCTGCATCCAATGAAAGCCAAAAAAACCAAAAAAAAACCCCACCAACCCCATTATATCATGTTTAGCATGTTCTATTGGAAGAGGGATAGACAATAAACACTAGCTCAGCAGTTCTCAACCTGGAGGTCTCGACCCCTTTGGAGGTCGAATGACCCTTTCACAGGGGTCACCTAAGACCATCAGAAAACACATATTTCCGATGGTCTTAGGAACCGAGACACTGCTCCTCTATCCATCTCCAGGCGGTCTGCCCACATGCAGATACACCCAATCTATGGGGTCACCACAACATGAGGAACTGTATTAAAGGGTCGTGGCATTAGGAAGGTTGAGAACCACTGCACTAGTGGCTCATGGTTAGCAGGAGTGGCCATGATCCAGAGCAGTCAATCTTAAGTCCGAGTGCTGATCAGAATCGTCTGGGAGCTCAGCTTGTTCTTAGTGTCGGGTGACGTCCAATTGGTTCCGTCTCACGGTTACCCCGTGTGCAGCAGCTCGAACCACGTCGGGTCCTGGGCCAGCCTCACAATTATGGGTATGTTGGAGCCCCTTGTTGCAACCACTGGGTCAATCCATCAGGTCGAGGTCTTCGTCTTTTTTGCCTCCCTTGGTTACGTGTTGAACTGCAGGTTTGTAGTTCAAAACCACCAGCCGTTCTGCTGGGGACAAATGAGGCTACTTCTACTCCTGTAAAGCATTACCGTCTCGGAAGCCCAGAAGGGCAGGTCTACTCTATCCCATATGGTCTCTGTGAGCCAGAATCGATTCCACGGCAGGGACCCCTCAGTAGAGCTCCACTGAATTCCGAATCCCTGGAGGTAGAGCCTGGGAATCTGTATATTTTAGTAACACCCAAGGAGATGCGGGTCATCAATAGGATTTAGAAAACTATATCCCTAGGGAACCAGGAGGAGCCCTGGTGGCACAGTGCTAAAGCACTTGGTTGCTAATAAAAAGGCTAGTCAAACCCACCATTTGCTCCGCAGGAGAAAGATGAGGCTGTGGGCCTCCTGTCAAGGTTACAGTCTTGGAAACACCATGGGGCAGTTTTATGCTGCCCTTTAGTATTGCTGTGAGTCAGTGTACGCATCACCCACAGGATGTCAGGGGACTCCATGATGTCTCAGCTCACAGGGAGAGAGAGTGCCTGCTAAGCCAGGCCCGGTGTGGGTGAGGAAGGAGCTAGCAGTCCCACAGTGGAAAAGGTAGTGATGAGAGCGAAAGCCCCTTTGTCCTTAGCTCCTGAGAATGCATGGAGAAGAGCCTTGGAACCTGGAGCTGCATCCTGAAGAGAAGCCCCCAGAGCTGTATCCACAGCTGGGCCCCCAAGACCTGTTGGCAGCCAGCCTCACTGCTGTCCTCCTGGGAGGGTGGATTTTCTTCCTGATGAGGCAGGTGAGGCTTTCAATCCTGCCCTGGGTCCTTCTTGGAGCCTTCTAGCTCTGAATTCCACTCCTCTCAGAGACGGTCCTGCTCTGATTGAGCGCCCCATCCTTCCAGCAGCTCCCTGGGGCCCTGCCACTGAGCTGTGTGTGCCCTTGCCCCAGCAAGGCCATCTCAGGCACAGCTGCAGGGCTCTGGGGGGCTGGGCACTCATGAGCCCGCATTCGCAGCAGCAGCTGGCAGAAAAGCGGCAGCAGGCACCCCTGACACCGGCAGACCCTTCTCACATCCCACAGCATGCTTCCACCCAGCCCTCAGGGACTGCCCCACCGGACCAGCACTCGGAGCAAATCCAACCACTCAAGGACCCTGAAGGTGAGCTTAAATGAACAAGAAACAGCAAAGGCCAGTGGGAGGGAGAGGAGGGGAAGGGCAAGTTTGGTTTAGCTAGAAAGTCCATTTATTAGAAGTCACCCCAGAGGTGAGGCATTGACGGTTCAGTAGTAAGATTCCCAAGTTCCATGAGGGAGACCTGGGTTAGATTCTCTGCCAATGCACCTAATGTCAGTGGAAGTGTGCGTATCGCTGTGAAAGGGTGAGGACTTGGAAGAAAGGCGAGGCGATCTGCTTCTGAAAACCAGCCATTGGAGCTCCTACAGATCACAATGGTCTGGCCAGGGACAACGTGCATGTGGTGGCCCTGAGTCAAGGACTGCTTTGAGGGCAGCTAGCAACAACATATCACTGCCATCGAGTTGATTCGGACCCATCGTGGCCCTGTGGGTCAGAGTAGAGCTGCTCCCGGGGTGTCTAAGGCTGTAAATCCATATGGAAGCAGACTGTCTCATCTTTATCTGAGGAATGGCTGGTGAGTCTCTTGATACACATAAGTATCTTATTTTTAGAAGACACCAGTCATTTATGTTTCTTCTGTGTGTGTGTGTGTGTGTGTGTTTTATGATATGTTTGGTAGTGTGTATGTTCTGTGCATCAAGACCCATTCGTTTGTTCCAGTTTTCTTATTCACGATCATCATGGTTCTAAGGTTTGTATTTAGTTCTTTAATCCATCTCGAGTTCATTTCTGTATGTGGGGTAAGGGTTGCGAACTTTTTATTGGTCTGCAGATTGAAATCCAATTTTGTCAGCATCATTCGTTGAAGAGACTAATCTGGCTATGGAGAAGGGCTTGAGGTCAGGAGGTGAGAGGCCTACTTTGCTCTTCTTAACTAGTTCTTTGCTGATGTTGGGACTCTTTCCTCTATATATAAAATTGGTGACTAGTTTTCCCATTTTAAACAATGGGGCTGGAATCTGGATCAGATTGCTTTGTGATATTTTCACAATGTTAAACCTGTCTATCCATGAGCATAGGACATTCTTCTATTTATGTAGATCTCTTTTTGTTCCTTTTGGTAGTATTTTATCATTTTCTTTGTATGCCTTTTATTTCTTTGGTTAGGTTTATTCTTAAGTATTTCATCTTGTGGGTGGGTATTATAAATAGTATTTTAATCTTGATGTCCTTTCCAGCTCTCTTTGTTAGCACACAGGAATGAATCCCATTGATTATTATATGTTGATCTTGTACCTTGACACACTGCTGAATCTTTCCATTATTTTCAACAGTTTTCTTATCTAGTCTCTAGGGCAGGGGTCCTCAAACTACGGCCTGCGGGCCACATGCGGCCCACTGAGGACATTTATCCAGCCCTCTGGATGTTTTTGCCCCATTTTGCTTTTGTACTTCAAAATAAGATATGTGCAGTGTGCATAGGAATTTGTTCATAGTTTAAAACAAACAAACTATAGTCCAGCCCTCCAACGGTCTGAGGGACAGTGAACTGGCCCCCTGTTTAAAAAGTTTGAGGACCCCTGCTTTAGGGTTTCCTATGTATAGAATTACATCATCTGCGAATAATTTTACCTCTTCTTTGCCAATTTGAATACCTTTGATTTCTTATTGTTGTCTAATAGCTCTTGCTAAAACTTCCAACACAATATTAAATAAGAGTGGTGGTATAGGGCACCTTGTCTGGTTCCTGTTCCCAAGGGAAATGCTTTCAGTTTGTGCTCATTGAGCAAGATGCTGGCTGTTGGTTTTGTGTATATGACCTTTATTATGCTGAGAAATGTCCCTTCTACTCCAATTTTACTGAGAATTTTTAATAGGGATGGGTGTTGGTGTAGTATTAAATTTAAAAATTGGCGCTGGGGGGTGAAGGGCCAGCCCCCACCC